TTGCATGTGAAATCAATGATATTGTTCTATAGTTTCCACACTCAGTTGGGTCACCCTTCTTTGGAATGGGAACAAATATAGATCTCTTCCAGTCATTTGGCCAAGTGATTGTTCTCCAGATTTCTTGGCACAACTTGGTGAGCACAACCACGGCAGCACCTGTTAGCTGAAATATGTCAATTGATATACCATCTATTCCTGGGGCCTTATTTTTTGCTATTTCCTTCAAAGCAGCTTGAAAAATAAATCTCAGAAGTGTTTAATATTCAGAATAAAGAATTTCAACGCAACAACAAAAATAATTTTTATAATGGGCAAAGGACCTGAAGAGATACTTCTCCCAAAGAAAATATATGAATCACTAACAGCAGCAATGAATAAGATTTTCTTATAAAGACAACTGCTTTATGCAAAATATATTTTTCTATTATTGCTACTTACAGGTAATTTGTTTATTACACACAATATTTTCATGCAAACAGAACAAAGCAAAGCTAAAACAGGTAGCTTATGTATTCCAGAGAAAGAACAATTGTATATGAAATATATTAGAATAAATCATTTGAGTCCATAGGTAACTGTCCATAAATAATGACAAAGCTCAATAATGAGCTTTTTTACTTAATGTTATTTCTTTTGAAATAACACCAAAAACTTATTTCAATATTATAACATTATAAACTTAATAAGATATTGTAAAATTTTTACATCAATACAAATTAAAAAAATTATATATAACAAGAAATTACTCACGTCTGCACTGTAAGTTCAGTGTCAAATGTTAGGGTAGTTCCAGTATTGACAAGAAATACATACAACTTCATGATGATTTCTCTGGATTCTGTAAACTTTTAACTCACGCTTTGATACTGTTACTAAAACAAACAAAAAATCAATTTTACAAGCACATTTTTATTATGACATAATACAATCTTAGTTAGGGCTAATTGAACATTCTTTTTGTAAACTGGTGCTTTGAAACAACAATAAAATGAAGGAACCCAGAAATAAAGTTCTAATTGATATATAAAGAGATGTGAAATATTTTATTATTTTAACCTCAAGTTATTGGGAATAGAAGAATGTGTTTGGTCAGGTATGTTTCTTATTCCCAAAGTGTGTCACTTACCTTGCTCTGTGGTTTTTATGTACCAAAAAGTCCATTTGAACTCATAGTGATCTAGTATGACAGGGAAATGCCAGACTGCCAAACTCCTGCAGAGCCATGAGGGAAGATTAAATCACTGACTCTGTTGTGTAGCAGCCATGCATCTTTAACCACTGGGCCAGCAAAACCCCAAACTCAGTGTCAAGGAGTCAATTCCTACTCAGTGACCCTCACCTGGATTTTGGAGGTTGTAAATCTTAAGTGAAGGAAAGAGTCATTATCTTTCTTCTGCAGAGTGGATGGTGGGTACATGCTGGCAAACTTCTGGTTAGTAACCAACCCTTACTTTCTATACTCCCTGTTGATGCTGTTATGTGCCATCAAGTCACTTGTGACTCACAGTGACTCTGTGTACAACAGCCCTGAAACCTGCTCTATCCTGTGACAATTTTATTGTCTCTAACACACCTGACCTCATTACTCCAGTCACTGTGTATCAATCCATCTCATCAATTGTCTTACTCTCCTGCGCTGTCCCTCCCCCTTTCCAAGCATGATGTCATTCTCCAAGGACTAGTCCCTCCTTGCAACATGCCCAAAGTATGTCAGACGATGCCTCAGAATCCCTGGGTTCCTTAAAATTGCATTTGCTATTGTTGTCAAGCAGACTCATAACGACCCTGTTTGTAACAGCATGAAACAAAGTCTAGCCCGCCACCATCCTGCACTATCATTTGTATGTCTGAGGCCATTGTTGTAGCCACTGTATCAATTCATAACAGAAAAGGACTTCAACTTTTGATAGCCTTCAAGGACTGTTCCCTCTTTACATACTTAAGTGAGAGAAAAAAAGGCCTCACCATCCTCACTAAGGAGCATTCTAGCTTTTGCGGCAGCCTTTGGTATTTTCAATTTTCTTCAACCACACTATAATTCAAAGACATCAATTCTTTATTCATTGTTCTGCCATTCCATGCATATAACGTAAGTGTAACTATCATGGTTTGGCTCAGGTTGTATGCTAGTCCTCAAAGTAACATTTTTACTTTTTAACATTTTCTTAGAATCCCCAAGAAGCTGCTAGAAGACAGAATTATTGTTGTTATGTGTCATTAAGTCTTAGCTAACCCTCCTGTGGGTTTTCAGAGGCAGAAAGAGGGGTTATTTAATTTCTGGTCTGTTGCTCCCTTCAGTGTTGATGGGGGATTCAGGTAAAATTATGTCTTTAACACCTTCGATTTTTTTTTACAGTAAAAAGAGCTATGAAAGAATTCCAAATAATATGTCTATTGGTTTTATGCTTACATTTATTAATAGTAAATGAGCTGTCATTACTTAAGTTAGGGAAAAATAGAATTTCTCTTCTCTACGTTTCCTCTTAAAAATATTAAAATGTCCAACCACAAACGAATGGATTGAAAAATTATTGTATATTTACATGATGGAACACTATGCAGCATGCAGGAGCAATAATTTTGTAAATTATCATCTAACTTGGGAGGGACTGGAAATCATTACTCTGAGTGAACTAACTCAGTCCCATAAGGATAAATACTGTATAAAACTGTTATTGTAGGATGAATATAAGGATCCAGGAGGGGTGGGAGAGGCTGGAAGCAGAGGGATGTAGATGTGCAGGGGGAAGGGGGAATTAATCATTGGGTTGTACAATTTGATGGGTGGGAGGTTTAGGGTAACAAAGAATTTGTTCAAATTTCTATATGATCTTTGTAAATAAACTAGTAGAAAAATAAAAACAACAAAAAAACTTATTTTATCCCATTAAAAAAAATCTATTTTAAACATGTAAACTGTCATTGTCATGAACTCAGAGCTGACCCTGTAGCAGGCTTTTAGGAAGCTGTAAGTGTTACAGGAGGAGACTACCACCTCCCTTGAATCTGCTGGTGAATTCTAACAACCACAGAGGTGCCACTTTTGGGTCTGACGACCAATACCTTAAAGATGATGTTATCAAGTTTAAATGAAGTAGTGAGAAACAAGTATAAATTCCCAGTTGTCTGTCACTGTGTCATCAACGTGGCTAAGACTCATCACAATGACCCTATGTACTACAGAATGAAGCCCCAAATACTATAAATTCTGCCCGCCCCAGCCTCATAATTTCAACTCAGACAACTGTTGAAATCACTATGTGAATCTCATCTTGTTAAAGGTCTTTCTCTCTTTCACTGACTCTCTACTATCTGAAGCATGACATCCTTTTCCAGGAATATCTTTCACAAGATGCAACTGAAAATACCATGTCATTGATCAGGCATAACTTAAGCCTTTAAATGGCTATCCTTGCTCATTAGCATTCAAAGAGGCCCTTGGCAGCAGATAATAATATATCATTCAATCTGACTGCTGCTTCCATGGCTATTCATTGAAGATCCAAATAATATCAAATCTTTGATCCAAATGAAATTTCAACCTTTTCTGTTTATCATGATGTTATTTATTGGTTCAGTTTTTTGTTTTCCTTACATTAAGATGGAATATACACTGAACACTTTAAACTTTACCAACAAGTGTTCAAGTATTCTCAGAATTGAGTAGGTATCCTTCTAAATGCTTTTTCCATATAAGCCCAAGATTAAAATTAATAGTCAAAAAGCAGCAAAGAAAGTTTTAAATTAAAAATGCATTATACCAACAACTGTTATGAAGGATAAGAATTATGACTTACTGTCAAGCACTGTGAAAAGGTCTATCACTTTTCTTAAATTGCAGACTGAAACTGGCTTATGTTTATTTTATTGGCAAGAGAATGGCTTTTTTGGTTAAACTCAGTGAACTGGAAAATATCTAGATTAATATTATTGCTAAAATCACTATGAAATTAATTTTAATTTTGTTTCAATATTTTCTTTTAAAAAAGGTCTACTGGCTTTCTTTTTCTCAAACTACAACCTGTAGAGCACTGGTCTCAGATCACTCCATAAAACTTCATCAGACAAAAGTTGTTGCTAAACTCCTAAAGCTATTTCTCAATACAGAAATAGCCTGGAATGATCCTGATCTCTTACATTTTACTGTATCATATTTCATTTAGACAAATCTTATTGCCTTTTAATTTTTTTTACAGAGGTTTTGGATTTCCATTCATTCATTGCCACAATTTTCTCCCTGCCCACCCCTCCCCACCAGCTCGCTTCCCCCTCCGAAGAGAAAAAAAAAAAAAGAAAAAAATTCCTTCATTACTATACAATGCCTTTTTATTTTTATAAAATTAGAATGAAAATGGTATTTATTCCAATAGACAATTTCTGCCACCTCTGGTTCCTAACATCCACAGCCACACTGGAATGGAATAGTCCCTCCTCTTTTGAGGGTGGACAGGGTTTATACCGTGTCCAGCTAAACAAATGTGGGAATAGTAATGGGATGTCACTTCCATATATATATGTTATTTCTGTCTTGTTAGATGATTATCTCCCTTAAGTAAATTACAATATAAAGAAGTCTATTTAGAGCAAGGCTGTGAAGGTGGCTCTGACCAAAAGCCAGAAATAAACAAAGGTCTCAACTACAACAACCTGCTAGGCATTGAATATAGCCAATCATCATATATACATAAAAAGTAAAAAGGAAATTAAAACTAAAAAACTATAAAGACACTTTGATGACTTAAGGTAGTTGTTGATAGCCTTCAAGCACGACTCATAGTGACCCTATGAAGGCCTTAAGCCTTTCTGTAACTATGGACATTTATCAAAGTTCATAGAGTTTCCGGAGCCATGTTGTAAGTGGATGCCACTCCTACTTTCAAAGATAACCTTGGAAAAGACAGAACATCACCATGGCAGTGGGACTTTTTTGGGGTTTGTGTGGGGGTTGGGTGAGGAGTCCTGGTAGTGCAGTGATTAAGTGCTCAGCCATTCTTTTCTAGTGATTTGATTTTTCCAAAGTAAAGTAGCTGATTATCTTGCAATCCTCTGTATTTCTATAAGACAGATTTGTTCATTATTCTCTCAGTCCACTGTATACAGTATTTAGTATTCTGGTCAGCATCAAAATTGGAATACATCATTTTTTTAAGTCTTCCTTTTTGTTGCCTAGCTGAGCTTTGCTTAGGAAACAACCGGGGGAGGAAAACCCAAAAGAATCTAACAAATTCAAGATTTGAGTCAGATACAGGCAGAGACTTTGCCATGTGAGCACAAGTCTTAGCTTACAGTACACACTGGTGTAACCAAATGGTCAGAATAAAACATCAAAATGAGGAAGCTCGATATTATACCGTGGCACTAAGTGTGCTGCTCTTCCCAAAGCAGGGCGGACGGAATCCTACGGCTCCACTGCAGACAGATGGGCAGTCTTCTCCTATTGGGTTTACAGCTTCTGAAAACTATATGGAGGGGCAGCCATGGGTCGGTTCCTACCCTACCTCCACTGCAATGAAAATAAGGTCTTTGTGAGTCAGAACCTAGCAAAGGCAGTGGGGTGGGTTTGTTATCTTCTTGTACTATTAACCTTCAATAAAAACCAAGTCTGAATGATTCTTAACTCTTGAGGACCTTGAAGGACAGAGTATAAGGACCCTGCACTTTTCCCTTAAAATTGCAGTCTGCTTTCAAAAGCAGAGATCTTACTGCTGTATCTTCTCTATAACTCAGGGAGCGGCTGAGCACTTAACAACTGCACTACCAGGACTCCTCACCCAACCCCCACAAGTCCCACTGCCATGGTGATGTTCTATCTTTTCTAAGG